GAGAGCAAGAGAGAGAGAGAGCAAGAGAGAGAGCAAGAGAGAGAGAGAGAGCAAAAAGAGAGAGAAAAGAGCAAGGAAAAGAGCAAGGGGAGAGGAGAGCAAGAGAGAGAGGGGAGAGCAAGAAGAGAGAGAGAGAGAAAAGAGAGAGAGAGCAGGAGAGAGAGAGCAAGAGAGAGAGAGAGCAAGAGGAGAGAGGGGCAAGAGAGGAGAGGGAAGAGAGGAGAGAGAGAGCAAGAGAGAGAAAAGAGCAGAGAGAGGGGCAAAAAGAGAAGAGAGAGCAAGAGAGAGAGAGCAAAGAGAGGGGAGGGGCAAGAGAAAAGAGAGCAAGAGAGAGAGAGCAAGAGAGAGAAACAAGAGAGAGAGAGCAAGAGAGAGAGAGAGAGAGCAAGAGGGGAGAAGGGGAAGAGAAAAGAGAGGAGGCAAGAGAGAAGAGGAGATAGGAGAGAAAAGAAGAGAGAGAGAGAGGAGAGGGAGGGGGGGAGGGAGAAAGGGAAGGAATAGGGGGAAAGAAGGGGGGAAGGGGGGGAAAGGAGAAAAGGGGGAGAGAGGTAGGGGGGAGGGGGAGAGGGGGGGGAGTGGAAAGAGGAGAGGGGAGAGAAGATGGGAGGGGAAGATGTTAGGGGGAGGAGAGAAAGGAGGGGGAGGGTTGGGAAGAGATGTTAGAGGGGATTGGTAGAGGGAAGGAGGGTTAGAGGTAGAATGTTGAAAAAGGGGAAGAGATGGTAGTGTGTAGAAAAGGGGGGAGGAGAGAAGGGGTTAAGGGTTTGGGAGTAGGAGGTGTTACTGTGTATGTGTGGTTGCGTGTGTACTAGTTGGGTTTTGGTGAGTTGGTGTGTGTTTGTATGTGGTTGGGGTGTATGCTGTGTTGTGTGTGTTGTGTTGTGTTGTGGATGGTGTGTGTATGTGTTGTGTGTATGTGTATGTGATGTGTGTGAAAATGTTTGTACACCTGTGTGGTTCGGGGGCAGTCACTTGCCCCGTTTTATGTGATGGTACTCCCCTTTTGCCTGCTTGTAATTACCTCTGTTAAAGCTTGTTGGTCGGTCCACTCATGCTTTCCCCTATCCTTCTGTCACTTGTGGTAAGGTACTCCCACCTCCCTGTGATTCATCTTGTACTTTGCTTCAAACTTGGCCCTTTTCTGTTCACTCTGGCATCCTGTTTTGTCCAACTTGCAAATTTCCCCCATATTTGATGTCGTATATGCCCCCCCATCTATCTGTCCCGTGTGTAGGTTGATTTCCCTTAACTCTCCTGTATGTCAATTGCTTCGGGATGTCTTGTTCAACCTTTCCTTTTACTGTTCTTACTGCTTTGGAGACGGTTCCCTGGTCCCTCTCCAATGGCCTAAGTATGGTTGTACAGGTCCTGACATTCCTTTAGTGTCGGAATCGTTTGAGTTTGCTTGGCCCATTGTGACATTATTTTAGGCCCTTTAGGGAAGTCTGGTTATATCACCCCGTCTTTTTCCTTAGTTGATTTGTAGTCTCTGGGCCCCCTAGCTGTACTCCGCTGCGGCCCTTGGCCTTTCCCCAACTTCATGATTGCACTTGGTGAAATTGAAATCCGGGCCATTTCTGGACCAGTTTGCACCTGTCCGATCCTTTGTAGTCCCCTGTCTTCAGATTGATTCCTCAAACTTCTGTCATCTGCAAAAGGCACTCAGAGTCTTATCCTTCCGTCTGCTTCATACGAAAGCACTGGCCCGGACTGACCCCTTGCGGACCCCCTTTCCAGGTTCCCACTTGCAGACCTGCCCCGTTCATGGGGCTTTTGCTTCTTTCCCAAGATTCCCGATCCATTGTGTGCCTTCCAGGTTACCCTGTTTTCTAGTTTTTGCACATTCTTTGGGGGACTGGTCAAACCCTTTCATCCAAAAAATGCATCCCCCCACCCCCCCTCTTGTCTTACCCCTGTCACCCTGTCTAGACTTTCCGGGAGGTGTGCACAATCCCGTCCCCGAAAACCATCTGGTCTGTGATGAATCTTCCTTCTGGTGTTCACCTCTTTCCTGTAATTCTCCATTTATTTTCACTACGTCTGACTGTCTGTCGTTTTGCTTCACTTCCTTTTAAGTTTGGGGTCATTCTGTCATCCTGCCCTTGGCCTTTCCCCGTGATTTTTGAAATTTTGTGGGTAACTTGCTTTCTTCCCTTTCAATCCCATGGGAATGATCCCCCATTGCCTTTGGGTATCTGCTCACCATTCCTGTACTCCCTTGGTTTGTGCACTGTGTCCAGCCTTGGTGGTGTGATCTGTCCCTTTTTGGGTTTCGCTCCTCTGTGAACCTTTTTGAATTTCTTTTGGGTTCTTCACATACTTCCGGGCAGATTCCTGTTTCTAAACCCCATTTCCCTTTCCCTTAGCCCGTTAACTGTCCTTAGTTTTTTTAATGATTGGCTGTACAAAAGTTGTGGTCAATTTGGCTTTCGCCTGCTATGTCATTTCTATGTCTTTCCTCTCCTTTATTGTATTATTTTTTCTGGTTACGATAGTCCCTTTTTCTCCCGGCCTTTCCTCTATACCCATCCCGCCATTGGTTTTTTCCTCCCTGCACTTTGGGTAACCAGGTCATCCTGCTTTAAAAACCCCTGAAACTTTACCTGGATTCGTGTGCCCTGTCCCGCCCGTGTTGTGTGTGTGTGTTGTTTTTGGTGGTTTTGTTGTTGTGTTTGTTGTGATTGTTTGTCCCTCAAGTATTTTAACGTATAATTTCCGGAAAACCGTTTTCTAAAAATCCCCTTTTTCCTTCCTTTAATAAAAAATTTTGGTTTTTTTTCCTTGTTTGGCTTTAAAAGGGTTTTGGGCAATTTGGCTTCCCCCGGATGCTTCTAAAGTCCCCCTTTTCCCTTTTATTTTTTGCTTAATTCGGGTTTCGATGGTCCATCTCTGTCCGGGGGTTCAACCCCCCCCCCAATTTGGTTTTTGCTTTGCATGAAAATTAACATGGGCTTCATCCTATTTTGAAAATTCTTCACCTGTGATCTTTATAACCGTATATGCTCAGGCATCCCGCGTCCCTCAGTGTCACTTATGATAGAGTACACTTCACTTATATTGGAATACACTTCACATTCGGTGTTACACTTTATATGTAATGTCACACAACTGTTGTGACGTCACTGATTCAGCAGGCCTAATGCCACTTTCCCTTGTTATATATTATATTTTTCCTTTCTGCTTTTGCTTATTAATTATTTCACTCTCACTGTATGGTGCCCCACATTTCACTTGTTATCCAATCTCTCGAAATTCTTGAACACCCGTGTGTGTGTGTGTGCGTGTGTGTGTGTGTGGAGGGTTGACAAGGTGATTGTAACCTAACCCCAGTGGCGTGTGTGTGTGTGTGTGTGTGTGTGTGTGTGTGTGTACTCACCTAATTGTGGTTGCAGGGGTCGAGACTCAGCTCCTGGCCCCGCCATGTGTGTGTGTGTGCGTGTGTGTGTGTGTGTGTGTGTGTGTGTGTGTGTGTGTGTGTGTGTGTGTGTGTGTGTGTGTGCATGTGTGTGTATGTCCGTGTTCTCAGCAGAGTAGAAAAACCTTTGGGGGATACATGCATCTTACATCCAAGGAGGCATTATGTGGAGCACATTTCTGACGTTGAAGACCTTGCGAGGAAAAAGGTGAAGGAGGAAAGGACGGGAGGGAGGGAGGGGTGCACAAGGACTTAAAATGTGATTCTTGGAGATGTCACTGGAAATGGAACCTAATAAAAGCAGGGCAAAGTTAGTATGTGTGTCCCGGAGAGAGCAGCACAACCAGTTGTTCATACAACAGTGTATAGAAACGTTATATGTCAGTCCACATCTTTGTGAATTGTTAAATACAAGTGTATGTGTGACGCACCCAGCTGAGGCAGAGAAAGTTACTTACTAAGTTGGTTAATAACATACAAACAGTGAAGCATTGCAATAGACAGGTACAAACCATGGTATGAGTGGGGATTAAACTCATGACGAGTGAGTCGTAAAACTCAGACCGATGTGTTAGCCACTGGGCCAGCTGGCTACAATAAGGTTCATCCAACTAGGTATAGTGATACACCATAGGTAGGTTAGCATAGGCACCACTGTGACCACAAATGCAAGTTTTTACAGATGAATCTCCCACCAGCGTGGCCATGACGAACTCTAGCTGAAGCCCCCTAAAGTCTTCATCATTACTCACAAAATCATAATGACATGATTGTAGCCAGCTGGCCCAGTGGCTAACATGCCAGTCTGGAGTTTTAAGACTTACTAGCCAGGAGTATTCAATCCCCACCCGTACCATGTTGTTTTTTGCAATCGTGTCATTAAGATTTTTCAGAAAAAGATTCTGTTATTTCATGAGAAATTTTTTTTTTTTTTTAATTATTTAACCTCAAGAGTGTTGTTGGTCGACAACCAAGAGCACATACAAAAACCATATCTCGAATTCCTTGTTCGAACACCAATTTATTTGAGTAGTAGTGTGTTCAACAACCAAGGTTTCACTATACGTACTCCCTTCATTGATGCTACCTGGGAGTTTGTTCCATTCATATCTTTATTTATTTACTACAGGTACATGTACAAGGTATACAGGCCTAACTGACATCAATAACATACGTACACTGTACTACTATATAGAAAGCCCATTTTACTGATGAGTGAACATAGACAACCGGTGTAAAGAAACATGCCCAGTGTTTCTACCCATGCTGGGAATCGAATGCAGACCCTCACCGTGTGAAGCGAGAGCTTTAGCCACCAGGCCACGGGGCATTACTAGACCAGGATTTCCCTATTTTCTTTCAAAATTGAGATTCGTCGAACTTGAATTCTTTACTGCGAGTCTTGCCTTGGTTGGTTTGATATTTTCAGCACATATCTCTCCTTTATTACTCATGTTTCCAACATATCAACATATCTGATCAAATAATTCCCATATCATGTTTGTGTTCGATTTCATTTCAATAAATTTTGGTTTTCATTTGCAATATTAAACTCACTAAGGGATAATAAAACTTGTCATTTTAGACGCTGCAGGAGCCATCATGTATAGAGAACCCAGATTACGGTATGGTGACTTTAGCAGTGGTTCAGCCCGGGGCTAGGGAATGTGTGGACCCACAACTGCACCAGGTGGCAATCCTCAAGACTTTCCCATTTGAGTCACGGGAACAGCGAATGACAGTGGTAACTCGCAGTAAGACCAGCACTGCCCTGGAGGTCTTCATCAAGGGAGCTCCAGAGAAGGTTGCCTCACTCTGCACTGCTGACACAGGTAATCTCTTCAAAGAAACAACAATGCTTTGAATGTCCTCTATGTACCTGGTGTTGTACACTGCTTAATATACAAAATTGTTTTGTTATGTTTGATGCATAACAAAATAACATTTGTTGATGTGTAATGTTTTGCTTGCCAACGTGTATATTTTAACTTTATATTACAGTAATTAACAAACATACTTTGGCATAGATTTTATATATGGTGTGTCATTACATTATAGTGTGCTGTGAAAAATACTTCACTTTTTGCCTTTTGTGTAAGCTGTAATTTAATGTTCCTAGTCATTAAATGAAGGTTATATGTAGGTCTACATATCTCTGTAATATCATGTTCTTTATTGTGAATTATTATTATTATTATGTGAGCAAATTACCTCCAGGAGGTTTTACAAAGCATTACCTGAATTATTGCTGGTTTTCTTTTTCTGTCTCATAAACACGCTAGATAACAGGGATATCTTGCTACTCCTACTTACACTTTGGTCACACTTCACAGACACGCACATGCATATATATATATACATACATCTAGGTTTTTCTCCTTATTCTAAATAGCTCTTGTTCTTTTTTATTTCTTCTATTGTCCATGGGGAAGTGGAAAAGAATCTTTCCTCCGTAAGCCATGCGTGTCGTATGAGGCGACTAAAATGCCGGGAGCAATGGGCTAGTAACCCCTTCTCCTGTATACATTTACTAAAAAAGAGAAGAAGAAAAACTTTATAAAAACTGGGTTGTTTAAATGTGCGTGGATGTAGTGCGGATGACAAGAAACAGATGATTGCTGATGTTATGAATGAAAAGAAGTTGGATGTCCTGGCTCTAAGTGAAACAAAGCTGAAGGGGGTAGGAGAGTTTCGGTGGGGGGAAATAAATGGGATTAAATCTGGAGTATCTGAGAGAGTTAGAGCAAAGGAAGGGGTAGCAGTAATGTTAAATGATCAGTTATGGAAGGAGAAAAGAGAATATGAATGTGTAAATTCGAGAATTATGTGGATTAAAGTAAAGGTTGGATGCGAGAAGTGGGTCATAATAAGCGTGTATGCACCTGGAGAAGAGAGGAATGCAGAGGAGAGAGAGAGATTTTGGGAGATGTTAAGTGAATGTATAGGAGCCTTTGAACCAAGTGAGAGAGTAATTGTGGTAGGGGACCTGAATGCTAAAGTAGGAGAAACTTTTAGAGAGGGTGTGGTAGGTAAGTTTGGGGTGCCAGGTGTAAATGATAATGGGAGCCCTTTGATTGAACTTTGTATAGAAGGGGTTTAGTTATAGGTAATACATATTTTAAGAAAAAGAGGATAAATAAGTATACACGATATGATGTAGGGCGAAATGACAGTAGTTTGTTGGATTATGTATTGGTAGATAAAAGACTGTTCAGTAGACTTCAGGATGTACATGTTTATCGAGGGGCCACAGATATATCAGATCACTTTCTAGTTGTAGCTACACTGAGAGTAAAAGGTAGATGGGATACAAGGAGAATAGAAGCATCAGGGAAGAGAGAGGTGAAGGTTTATAAACTAAAAGAGGAGGCAGTTAGGGTAAGATATAAACAGCTATTGGAGGATAGATGGGCTAATGAGAGCATGGGCAATGGGGTCGAAGAGGAATGGGGTAGGTTTAAAAATGTAGTGTTAGAGTGTTCAGCAGAAGTTTGTGGTTACAGGAAAGTGGGTGCAGGAGGGAAGAGGAGCGATTGGTGGAATGATGATGTAAAGAGAGTAGTAAGGGAGAAAAAGTTAGCATTTGAGAAGTTTTTACAAAGTAGAAGTGATGCAAGGAGGGAAGAGTATATGGAGAAAAAGAGAGAGGTTAAGAGAGTGGTGAAGCAATGTAAAAAGAGAGCAAATGAGAGAGTGGGTGAGCTGTTATCAACAAATTTTGTTGAAAATAAGAAAAAGTTTTGGGAGTGAGATTAACAAGTTAAGGAAGCCTAGAGAACAAATGGATATGTCAGTTAAAAATAGGAGAGGAGAGTTATTAAATGGAGAGTTAGAGGTATTGGGAAGATGGAGGGAATATTTTGAGGAATTGTTAAATGTTGATGAAGATAGGGAAGCTGTGATTTCGTGTATAGGGCAAGGAGGAATAACATCTTGTAGGAGTGAGGAAGAGCCAGTTGTGAGTGTGGGGAAGTTCGTGAGGCAGTAGGTAAAATGAAAGGGGGTAAGGCAGCCGGGATTGATGGGATAAAGATAGAAATGTTAAAAGCAGGTGGGGATATAGTTTTGGGGTGGTTGGTGCAATTATTTAATAAATGTATGGAAGAGGGTAAGGTACCTAGGGATTGGCAGAGAGCATGCATAGTTCCTTTGTATAAAGGCAAAGGGGATAAAAGAGAGTGCAAAAATTATAGGGGGGTAAGTCTGTTGAGTGTACCTGGTAAAGTGTATGGTAGAGTTATAATTGAAAGAATTAAGAGTAAGACGGAGAATAGGATAGCAGATGAACAAGGAGGCTTTAGGAAAGGTAGGGGGTGTGTGGACCAGGTGTTTACAGTGAAACATATAAGTGAACAGTATTTAGATAAGGCTAAAGAGGTCTTTGTGGCATTTATGGATTTGGAAAAGGCGTATGACAGGGTGGATAGGGGGGCAATGTGGCAGATGTTGCAAGTGTATGGTGTAGGAGGTAGGTTACTGAAAGCAGTGAAGAGTTTTTACGAGGATAGTGAAGCTCAAGTTAGAGTATGTAGAAAAGAGGGAAATTTTTTCCCAGTAAAAGTAGGCCTTAGACAAGGATGTGTGATGTCACCGTGGTTGTTTAATATATTTATAGATGGGGTTGTAAGAGAAGTAAATGCGAGGGTCTTGGCAAGAGATAAGATAAAGAATCACACACAGGGTGGGAGTTGTCACAGCTGCTCTTTGCTGATGACACTGTGCTCTTGGGAGATTCTGAAGAGAAGCTGCAGAGATTGGTGGATGAATTTGGTAGGGTGTGCAAAAGAAGAAAATTAAAGGTGAATACAGGAAAGAGTAAGGTTATGAGGATAACAAAAAGATTAGGTGATGAAAGATTGAATATCAGATTGGAGGGAGAGAGTATGGAGGAGGTGAACGTATTCAGATATTTGGGAGTGGACGTGTCAGCGGATGGGTCTATGAAAGATGAGGTGAATCATAGAATTGATGAGGGAAAAAGAGTGAGTGGTGCACTTAGGAGTCTGTGGAGACAGAGAACTTTGTCCTTGGAGGCAAAGAGGGGAATGTATGAGAGTATAGTTTTACCAACGCTCTTATATGGGTGTGAAGCATGGGTGATGAATGTTGCAGCGAGGAGAAGGCTGGAGGCAGTGGAGATGTCATGTCTGAGGGCAATGTGTGGTGTGAATATAATGCAGAGAATTCGTAGTTTTGGAAGTTAGGAGGAGGTGCGGATTACCAAAACTGTTGTCCAGAGGGCTGAGGAAGGGTTGTTGAGGTGGTTCGGACATGTAGAGAGAATGGAGCGAAACAGAATAACTTCAAGAGTGTATCAGTCTGTAGTGGAAGGAAGGCGGGGTAGGGTCGGCCTAGGAAGGGTTGGAGGGAGGGGGTAAAGGAGGTTTTGTGTGCGAGGGGCTTGGATTTCCAGCAGGCATGCGTGGGCGTGTTTTGATAGGAGTAAATGGAGAAAAATTTTTGGTTTTTAATATTGACGTGTTTTGGAGTGGAGCAAAGTAACTTTATAAGGGAAGGAAACCCGGGCGGCCGACTTAGCCCTGGAGATGGGAAGTACAGTGCCGCACTCTAAAGGAGGGGTTTAATTTTTGCAGTTTAAAACTTAGTGTAAAGCCCCCTTTCTGGCAAGACAGTGATGAGTGAATAGGTGAAATTTTCTTTTTCGGCCACCCTGCCTTGGTGGGAATGGGCCAGTTGATAATAATAAAAAAAAAAATTTTGTGAAAAATTACCTCCAGGAGGTTTTACAAATCATTACCTGAATTATTACCTGCAAGTAATTGGGTGAGTTAAGTGGGTCTTAAATTAACCCTTTCAGGGTTGACAGGCCCTCTCCCAGACTTGTTCTCAGGACCGAAAAATTTAAAAAAAAAAAAAAATTCTCATGAAAAGGTAGTTTTTTTTTCTTTAATCTTATAGGCTAAACAAAAATTTTTTACCATCAATACTTACTGAGATATGGAGGTGTGAAGTTGACAGAAAATGGCCGGCATACGGCAACATCGCCGACTGCTGGTCACCCGGTTTTGGTTTATTTAGTTTTTTGGTACAGTATTATTTTCTATTTTTTTTTTCAAGTAACTTTTATGGCCTGTGAGACCAATATGAGCACTGTTTTGTAAGTTTTTTCTCTTTATTTGCTACACAATAACTGCACAAACACTGTTGTCACTATATTGTTTATAAAAGTTTACACACACAAACGTTATAAAATGTTTTTTATTACTATTTTTCTATATGTGTATTTTATGTACACGTATACAGTCACAGGGAATGTTTCTAGAAGTTCTGCAGCCTGTGGAACTCTTTGAAACATGGTGTCATGCACAGTGGTGTTTTACACTCCTCACACATAAAACAAGTGTCTCCGCATTGTTGTGGGCGTTTATTTGTATGTGCACAGACGTAACACCTCTTCTGAGCCTTTTTCTTGAAAGCAGTAGCAAGCAGTTGTATTAGGAAGTGATCACCAAGCTTCAGACGAGAAGGTAGTTGTTGATAGTTTAGTGAGCGGTTTTCTATTGCAGGTGTTGCTCCCTGGTACTTGAATACTATTTGTCTGATGACAGACAAACAAAATTTGCCATATGGTGGTTTGTTTCTAGTCCTCATCTTATACATATTATAAGCATTGAGCATGGAAATGTCCAGAAGATGGAAAAAGAGTTTTATGTACCACTTATAACTCTTGCGAACACAATCAGCAAACCCAATCTGCATGTCACATTTGTCCACTGAGCGCATATTGAAGGTGTAATCAATCATTGCAGGTTTTAGAATGGGTTCATTGCTCTCTTTATGCTGCCTGCCAGTGTTTGTCATTTCATTAGGG